TAGACAGCCAGGTCAAAATCGAAGGCAAGGCTCCCTGCTCATTGCTCAACCCCCAGTTTCTGTTTTGGCTTTTAGCCATTATTCTTCCCTCCCCAAATAGAAAATCCCTGGCTGAATCCACCCTCATTGTGCTGGAGTTTTCTTTATTGTCAGAGGTTCGAGGTCTTCACATCACGTCATCCAGGTTGAAGTAGGAGCTCATCGTGGTTCAATTAGATCTGCACGTCGCAGCCGCAGGTGGTTGCCTCCTGTTATCATTTCTTCTTCACAATAGCAGAATCAATGTCGCAGCCATAGGTGGTGGCTTCTTTCAGTTCTGTGCTCTTAACTCTTGTTGTCTTGATAGTTATTTTCATTCAGTTAGACTTAGATAGTTCAATATGCTCTGCTTTTTCCTTCATTGGTCATGCTCCGTGCAATTGTTCCAGTTTTAAGAGTGAGGCTGAGATATATTCTAATAATCAAAGTTTGTTGATCTTTGCTTTTTTCTTTTCCTCCAATATTAGAGTCTTTTTCTGTTTTTTGCACATATGAGGCTGAACTAAAAACTGAATTTGATTTTTGTAAATAATGAATCTGAACACTGAAATAGGTAGCTGAATTTGTCAATAATTTGCTTTTATTCCAGTCTTGTGAGACTACTATATGAAATTTGAATTTGTCAATTTGAACTTTGAGGTTGAAGAATAGTCAAATAGGCTGCGATTGTTTTATTCTAATAATAGGAATGCATTTAATAAATGTCATGAATCCAATCTAGTACAGAGACGAAGGGGAATCATTACCTTGTTGTCAAATACCTTGTCCGTAGTAGTCAAATAAACTACAAGGCAGATTTTCAGATTTGATTCATGACATTTATCCAAAGAAACCTCATGCCCACAATAGTCAAATAGCCATTTATATATCTTGAATTTTATTTTTTATTAGTGATGTTATGTTATCCGAGCTAACGACATAGCAATGACCCCCTAATCGTGATATTTGATCTTTGATTTTTTTTGATTTGTCATTTAGTAACAGTGATGGATATTTCAAGTAATCCAAGTTCAAGAAATGACAATATGACTCTTAATACGGGATCTTCCACTCCTAATACTGAAACTTCCACTCCCACACCCACTTCTTCATTACGTACCAAAACAAATCCTGCATGGGCACATGTTGCATACAAAAAAAGAGGGGACACAAAATATATATACTTGTCTTTTTTGTACTAATAGTTATAGAGGAGGTGAGATAAATAGGATGAAGCAATATCTTGCTAGCATCACTGGTCAAATAGCTTCTTGTAAGAAAGTTCCACATGATGTGTGTCATAGAATGTCTGAATCTTTGAAAGAATGTCCAAAGAAAAAAGCTGTTGAAGACTTAGAAGAGGATGTTGAAAAAACTCATGTTGATTCACAAATTATCATGAGTACTTCAAAGAAGAGGAAAGCTACTGAGAGTATGGACAATTATTTTGCTCCTAGAACAACTCTTGATTCCCAACCAGGTATTAAAAGTGCATTACTAACTAAAGAAGCAAAATATAATGTGAAGATGCTGATTGCTGAATGGGCCATTGTGAACTGCATTCCATTTAAGGCATTTGATTGTTCTTTATTTTGAAAAGCTGTGGATGGAATTGCTTCAATTAGGCCTGGGTTTAAAGCCCCTAATGCTTATGATTTCAAACCAATTTATTGAGTGATTGGTGAAAAGAATGTCAATTACTTATTGATTGCCATCGAGCTAAATGGAAAAACAATGGCTGCACACTCATGGCTGATGATAGCATACCAGAAGGTGTTCAATATAGAGGTCATGAAGCCCAAATAACAATCATTCAGTTAGAGGCCCAACAAGCCCTCCAAAGTATTCAAGTAATTTATGACTCAAGAATGCTTATATAGAGGAGGACATGGATCATTGCTTGGATAATGATATGGATAATTACAAATACAAAGCTTGAAGTGACATGTGATAGGCCACCCTGAAAGCCACCATGGCATGTAGGTCATTGGAGTATGGACACTTGGACCTTGAAGAAGACAAGAGCACATTCCTATGTTATTAAAGGCCCAACATAATTATATGTGCCTGAAGGAATCCATTGGAGCTATAATATTTTAAAGTGGGGCCCAAATGTATTGTATTATGGACCATGAGAGTTTCAGAACATGATTAAACCATATTCAAGCCGAAATGGATGTCTAAAAGGCCTATGCATGCTTATGGACGTGAATAGCATTTATGAAGATCCTTTGGAACGTCCAAGAACATTCAAGAAGGTCAAGCAGGCATCATTATGAATTGATTATGAATTAAGTTTGTTTTTTTGGTCAAGGATTGTTCTAGAAGATCATGTTTTGATCTAGTTTCCTATTTTCAAATAGCAGACTTGTTCTTGAATTTTGAGTTATTTTCTTTTATTTCTATATAATAAATGGTGCCTCCCATAGTCAAATAATCATTAATGAGGCATCATCCCTAGCATTTATGTCTTAAGATGCCGATTTTAGAGTGTTCTATGGTTGCTTATATATAGGCTACATTTTTTTGTAATTGAATGTAGACTTAGATGAATAAGAATTGAGTTCATTTCTCTCTGTGTGAGCTTTAATTAGATCCTTGTATTCTCGTGAGAATACTCGACAGTATCAAGGGATTGATCAACCTTGTGGTGCATTCATGGCTAGGGTTGTAAGAGACAGGTTCTCTTAAGGTCTTACCTAGATCAACCATCCATTTGTTACTTGATTCTAGCCTGTTCGTATGTCCCCTCATATCAGCTGATGGATAGACTGATGTTAGACAACGCACTTTGATAAATTTCTTAGTGTATTCTACACACGGTATGGTATTTGTGAAATTTGTTGATGAATCAGATCTAGTCAAAGATTCTACATTGAAGAAGAAGAAAGTTATGATCTAATTGACTATGAAAACATTGACATGGTGGACTTTTGGGTGACTGAAGAAGATCCTACCCAAGAGTTTGATGATAGAGATGTGGCTGCACTTGAAAGTGTCCTTAACAATGAAGGCACTACAAATTCAACAACTTTTGATAGGGATAATTGAGGTTTATATATATAATTAAGACTCTATTAGTATTCTTAGATGAATATATAATTATTTGCATAATCATTAATATTGATTATTGTCTTATATAGGTGATGAAGATATGGATATTGCTAATCCTCCACCTTTGCACGATGATATTGTTACTCCTACTTTTCCTCATCCAATTGTTGACATTTCAGTCCATGCTCTTACTGATGATCTTAATGATGATTTTAATTTTGCATAGTCATAAAGATATGTATTTTTATTAATATTTGCTTGGTACAATCAAACATTTAAACTACTTTTGGAACTATCTTTTTTTGAGTGATTATTATTTATGAACTCTGTTCTATTTTAATATTGTGAATTAAATTGTATTATTTTAATATGGCTCATCTCACCTCCTGTCCGACCAGTGACCCTTGACCCATTTGTTTCGACTGGTTTAGTTCCCGGTCCGATTTTTTGTTCCTTAGATATATCATATGATATTTTGCATTATTTTGCAACACTTAGGCCACAAAATTACTATTCATTCCTGGCCCAAAATAATGTCCAATGGGCAGGAGAAAGAAGAAAGAAGCGTCACTTTGCATTTCCAAACATTTTTCTACCCGATTTCGTCGTATTGGCTAAAATTTCTTTCTAATTTTCAAAAATATTTATGGACCTTCACAAATTCATTTCTTCTCATCAAAAATCATATTTTAATATAGGAAAGACCTCTAAAAATTTTCAGAATTTATCTCAACATCTAACTATTTATTTTGAATTTTCTCTGAAATCAGGCTTTACCAATAAGATTTCAGAAATAAATATTTTAAAATTAATTCTTTCACTTTCAGGGCCTGGAAACAATTTTATAAACTCAATAAATCCTTAAATAATTTTTTCAAAATTTTTCATGAATTATTGAGGCCTTTATATATTTAAAAGAATTGTTTCGGACTAATTTTTTTATTGTTTTTCCTGATAAACCTTTGTTTACAAAATTTTTTGTAATAAATTATTTTTATGCCATTTTGACCTCTAGGGCCTCAAATATGGTTCCAAAATCTCTAATTTACCTTTTTACCATTTTCTAAAAATTTTCTCAAATTTTCTATTTTACCCTTCCTGGATTGAGGATTTCAAAAACATCAGTCCGGACAAGAGTCGGATCTTAATTCAAAGTTTTTTTGTCTCTGAGTTTACTTCACTACTTGACCCTCTATTTAATTTATTATTCATATTTTTAAGGTTAAAATTGGCAGGATGTGATATACCTCATGTCCGTTTGGTCATTTTATTTATTTATTTTTGACCAAGAGTCATTTTACTTATTTGGATAACCTTTTTATCTATTTGAATTTCAATGAATATTTTCTAATCATTTTCCCTTTTGCTATCATTTTTCTTCAAAAAATTTTAATTGCTTTTTCTTTTGTTTTCCCCCTCTCTTATCCTTGCATCTTATATTTATTAAAATTTTATAACATTATTTATTTTTTAAAATTTAGTTTATTAAAATCTGCGTAAAATCTAGTATTGGTTTGATGGATGGCCAGCACTGTTCGCCTTTTTTAACATAATACTACCTCCGGTCCTTAATATAAGACCCTGTTTGACTTTTATTTTGGTCCTAAATATAATACCCCAATCCACTTTGTCTCTCATATTTATGCATTTTTTCCAAAATAGTCTTTCTAATAATTGTAGTTCTAGCCAATATAGTTGATTAGTAGAGATATTTTAAGAAAAACAACACCTATTTATTACAAATAACTAACTTAACTTCTTTCCTTAATTTCCTCAAAATAGTCAAATGGGTTTTATAATTAGGACCGGAGGAGGTAGTAATAATAATTGCTCTATTACCCGAAAATTGGGACCAAAATATCCAAACTCTGAAGAGGAGAATGAATCTTGTATTTTTGACCGGAAAAAAAAAGAAAGAAGAAGAATCTCGTTTTATCCAATATCTTGCTCCCCGGATCTTCCCACTTCAAATTCATTCCAAATTTTCGTTTGCTCCCAACGCCGAAACGTAAAAGCATGTCCACCATTTCTTCTTTCACATTCATAAACTCCAATTCCAATATCTTGTTCCCTTTTCCACTCTCTCCAGCCCCTCCTCCATCTTCTCGTACTTCCTCTGAGTTGCAGTTACTCCATCCTTCTTCACATTACCCTAAATTGCCTTCCACTTCTGTGATTCGCTCAATTTCTTCAAGAAAATCTCTAATCCACCTTTGTTGTAAATCCCCTGAAGCGGAAGAGCTGTACTCGCCGGAAGACGAGTGGCTCCAGAAGCTTCCCGAAAAGAAGAAGCCCCTTTATTCGCACAGCTTACCTTGCATTGAGGCTTGGTTGCAGAATCTAGGTTTTTGTCAAAGCAACGACGATAGGGCTCTTTGGTTTATTCAGAAGCCAGATTGGCACGCTCAACTCTCTCTCGACATCACTGACCTCTATATAAGGTGTGTTTTTGGTTCGTAAAAATACAATTGAATTACTTTAGTCCTTGGACTTATGCACTCGCGGATTATATTATTCACTGGTGACTAAATATCATATGGCAAGTTGCAAATTGTAAAATTCTGAATGATTAATTTGTACATAAGTATGAGGCATATTTTCCAGGTGTCATACTCGTGTGCCTTTTGTGGAGTTTTAAATGATTGAATTGATAGTGAAAGTCGGGTGTCTTACCTTAAACCTTGTGCATAAACTGACTGCGTTTTGGTTTTTCAAAGCACAAATTCTGATTCAATTGAAGTTATGATGGATGTTTTCCATCGTTAAGTATTACCGTAGAATGCTTTGTATTTAGTACTTTGTTTACCTGCTTATTGTTGGAGGAGCATCCTGCTAGTGCATGTCAATAATTTGTATATGATGCCCAAGATCAAATAATAAATCGGTGAACTAATCTCACAATGAGGGAGTTTTATACGGATGTGCTTAATCAAATTAGCAGAATACTGCTGAACTGTGACTGGGCATGATTATGCAATAAAGAATATAGACTAGTATAGTACTTATCTGATGGCATTGAAACTTGAAGAAACATTTGTTCCTTGGTTTTGGCTCTTGTGCTTATCTGATGACTTCTATCTACCATTATTTTATTGCTTTATCAGTCACTCTGCTGAAACTAATGAATTTTTATTTGTTTCATCTGCTAACTTCAACTCTCTCTGACTCTCATTTTGTTTTTTGTTTTTTTGTTTTGTTTTTTTTTGTTTTTGTTTTTTTTTTTTTTTTTTTTTGGTTTTTGCCTGGACTGGGAAGCTAGCTTCCTTTTACAGTGTTAAAGCCTATATATGAATATTCATAAGCTGGAACAAGTAATATATGTGAACTACAGAACGCAAGATTTGGGTTAAACTCCAATATTGATATTCATGTGCATGATTCGCTGAAAGTTGTTATTATTGAAGAAGAAAAATTTGACGCTTAATTTTTGCATTGAGAATGGCGAATTTTACAATGCTGCATTGTTTATCGACTGTTACCTGCTTTCTGATGAAAGATTCCTGGTTATATTTACTAGAAGGTTGAATGGAACTACTGACCTATTCGTCCTTTTGAAATTTTCTTGTACGAGTAAATGTAGGGAAAACAAAAAAGTTCTCAGAATGATATGAATAGTTGCTGTCTTATGCAGAAACAAACTATGCCTAGCCCTTTTTATGGTCTAATGTTACTAAGAAGCCTTTGAGTTAAATTGAAGATGGAGGAATTAAGCTTTTTTCTCTCTAATCGTTATCGTCACTTTTGTTATTATACTGTGAGTTATTGCAATACTAGGAAATCTGCCTGAAGTAGTTTATTATCAGGCACATGGTATGACATCATCATTTTCCAAATTCCAACCTTTACTATAACAAGTACTATAACACTTTTTGGCTTGGTGTTAGATTCTGTGCACTCTGTTTCGGGATGGATATATCAATACTTCCATGCAGCACTTCCCAAATTTTCAGGAAATTTCCTTTGGCATTTGTTATGTGATTGAAGAGGAGAAGAATTAGAACAATATGTTGCTACCTCTGGTTCTTAATATAAGAGCTAACTAGAGATTAGATTTGGCCCTAAATATAAGATCTCGATCTATTTTGTCTCTTAAATTTATAATTCATTCTCTAAAATGTCACTGTTAATTAAGTATCAAGAGAGTTTACATCCAAGGGTAGTCATGCTGTATTTGTCTACGACTTCTGATACGAGTGGTTTGACTGTTTATATTATTGCATGCATGCTCTACTTTTTGTACTTTAAATTTTTCTTTGAAGCTGAAAGAGATGGATACCGAAGAGCATATAGGAAGAGGGACAAACTCTACTGCGATTGGCAGACAAATACGTACATTTGACTTTGTCTGGCGGTGGTTAACTTGCTTCCATAATTTGATTTTCTGTGTGGAAGCTGTGCCTCCCTGATTACATCCTTTATGCTACTGATCATGTTGTGAGCTTTGCATTTGATAAAACTTTTTGGTACTCTCATAGGAACTACGGAGATAGAGTATCGAGTAACTTAATTATGATTTCAATATGAAAATTAGAAAGCTGTTAAATACTAACTGATAGGGGAAAAATCCATCAAAACAGGAGCTAGAAAGGATTTCATCGACTTTTTTTGATGGAATAGGATTTCCTGTTGCAGAATGAAGATTCGATTATTGTGCAGGTATTTGAAGAGTGGACCAGGAAACCTTGAAAAGGATGTGGAAAGGAGGTTCAGCTACGCTCTGAGCAGAGAAGACATAGAGAATGCTGTCCTTGGAGGACCATAGCCATTTTATTTTCCATATTTTCCACCATTTTATTTTCCAGCTACCAAATATATGTATATTTGACTAAGGCTCCCGAAGTTAAAGTACCCATCATGAATGGAAAAAGATGGTGTTTTACAATTTGACTGGGAAAGTGGGATTCAAAAGTAGATTTCAAGAATTATTTAGGCTGTTTGGATTGGTAATAGAAAAAGTAGTTTATTTTTAATTTAACTTATGAAAAAATTAGATTGGATAATGTGATTTATGTTTAAAGGAGTTTTTATAAGTAAGTTAGTTTGAATGAGTAAGTTGTTTGGATTATGATTAAATAAGCAAATTTAGTTTGTAAAGTTACCAAAATCAGTATAACTTTTAATAAATAATAAAAAATTAAAAAATTATTAATTTACATAATATAATAATTTTAAATTATTTATAAGCTCATGTTTGTTTTATTTATAGGACCTAAATTTGAGGGGGTGTGATTTACTTTATAAGTTTTAATTTGGATTTGTATTAATATTTAATGTGTCTTTTTTTTTGGTTGCCAAATTTTGTCCTAAATTATTTATTATCTTCTTTGCCATATTCTTTCTTATTACATTTTTTTCATATATATCTGTTTAAATTTTCTTCTCATTCATTATAAGGGAATATTTGGAAATAAAACTATATTTCTAACATTTATTACTTTTAGTTAATTTTAATTGATTTTTTTGTTATGGAGAATCCTTATATCTATTATGTCAAGTTCCTCAATTGTGTATGGCTATGTATTCATTTTTGTTTAATATGGATTTATAATTAAATGTTATTAAACATTAATATTTTAAAAATAGAACACATATTAATGTTTAATTAAAGAATTTGACATGATGGATATAAGAAATTTGATGTAAGTATTGTCTTTGTTATTCGCAAATTAGTTATTTGAGACTTATAATAAGAACAAGAAGAAGTAGTAAACTTCTTAAAGATGGGACCTATTTTTTTAAAAAAATTTTGTCCTAAATTATTTACTATTTTTTTTTGCCATACTCTCTCTCATTACATATTTTCATACATTTTTTAATCTTTTTTTTTCATTCATTATAAGTGTATATTTGAAAATAAAAATATATTTCTAATCTATTTATTACTTTTAGCTAATTTTAATTGATTTTTGTTATTTACAAATTAGTTATTTAAGGTTTATAATAAGGACCAGAAGGAGTAGTAAATTTTTTAAAAGTAGCACTCAACTCTTTTTTTAACTTTTGCTCTATGTAAGCTTCAAAGAGCAAAAGCTAAAAGTTAAAAGTCGTAAGCACCAAATTTTTGCTTATAACTTATTGTGACTTTTTATATAAAAATCAAATTATCCCATCACTAACCCAAACATTGCAATTTTATGGGTTGCACGTTTTCTCATTCAATCGCACGTTTAGATGCCTAAACATCCTCACACGGACTCTTGGGCGCTCAGCGGTGCTATGCAAGTTCGGAAGTTGTAGTTTTATTATTATCTAGGTCACAATGTTATTTTGGTCCCTTGACACGTTATTTTGATTTCTTTTGATCCTTGACTTTTTCAACATCACCATAAAATCATTTTCCCTCGTTTGGAGTAATTTCAAAAATGATCTGTCGATGGTTAGCAATAATATCTTTTGTGATAATCATTTTTTTCCTCATATTAAAAGATTATCATAGTTTAAAGTTGTAATGAATATTGTTGGAATAAAACTTAATCTACCTTTGGTGGATTAGGCCCAAGCCCAAGAAGCCTGGGGTCTAGTTGGGATTTATTGAAAGATCAGGGGTAGATATTGGTAGAATATCTAATCTTCATTTTGAATTTTTGGTAGGAACAGTTATTAGGAGTGGGAGTACGTGCATATGAATATATGTATGATGAAAGATAAGTGCACTGGCTTTCTGCTATTTCTCTTCCTCGATAGATTTTCTGTCCAAATTCTTTCTCTTGGTGTATTCACTGTAAAACCATAAGTCTGTCTCTATACCTATGAACAGACTTTGTATAGGTAGAAGCATATAGAATATCACTTTTAGGTATACCCTAAAATTCCTCATTGGTATCAAAGCTAAGAATGATCCTGAGATTTTGTTTTTAGCTTTTACTTTGTCCTCCTCTACATGATGTGTTTAGATCCTGTGCCTGCGTTTTTTTTTTTTTTCATTTTCTATTATTATTCTACATTCCAATTGCCTTCTTCTATTAAGATACATATTGAGATGAGAGTTGCTTTCCTTAATTCCAGCAAATCCTTATATATCCTTTTAGTTTTTTAATTTCCAGCTCTTTAATATATGTTCCTTTGTTTTTGTTTTCGTTTTTTTTTCATTCTTCTCACTTGTATATAAGTTATTTGATGTTAATAAGATACTTTTAAATTTATTGAAGCGAAAAGAAAGAGGCGTAGAGGAACTAAAATAGTGAATCGAAACTGAATAGTTTAGTTTTTGAAAGTGGGTCTTTCAAGAATCAACTTTTTTGTTGTCCAAATTAGTTCTATTGTGTAGAACTCCAAACAAAAAAAACAAAGACAATGACACACACAAAAGACGGGCATCAAATAGTGAAGATATGGAGGAGAGAAGCTATCAGACCCGACCCTGTTCATAGCCGGGTCGCCCACAACCCGGTTGGAGGTTGAAGACAACCTCAATGGTGAAACAATGTCGTTTTATTGAAGTTCCTTCAACCCCACTTAGCAAAATGATACGCGTTACTAAGTGGAAATTAAAAAAAAAAAATCTTTAAACAGCCCAATTTGCTACAAGGCTGAGAAGGTTTTTAGGCCGAAAAAAAATAAATTGACCTATTGCTTTCACGAAGCCCAGGGTAGATTTTTTTTAAAAAAATGAGGCCCAACAACAGATTCTGGCCCATGAGAATAAAATAATAGTTATTAAAATATATTTTAAAAATAAAATAAAATGAAATAATAAGAAAAGGGCCAAAACTATCACATGGCACGTAACACCACATGGCAGGCCTATTAACCATATGGCCACTGTCATTGAAGTGGCGACAATGCATGGAAACCGTATGACTCTTAGGTGTTGCGGTTAGCAGCCTCCATGGCTATGCGTGAAAAGCACGTGTTGGGTTTGAAAGTTGGCTTCACCAGACTTTTTTTCATTTTCTTAAGGATTTAATCTTCTCGAGGTACTTGTAGGTGCGTGAGACCTTTATTTGAGGTGCGATTTGTCTCTTAAAAATTTCTAAATTTATGATCTTGACTATGACATATGATTTTCCTATTTTAGATGAATTTTACGTTTTTTTAAAAAAATTCTTAAAATTAATTTTTAATTCAATTTTTTTTAGGTAAAAATGGAACAAGAGGCTTCATTTGACATTGAAACTGATTTTTATGGTTCATTTAGTATAAAATACATGGATGATGTGTCTGCAATATGAACTATTAAGTGATGACTTTGAGGAGGCTCTAAAGATGAAACCGGAGGAGGACCTAGAGATGGACCCTAAGTTGGACCCAGAGATGGACCCTGAGGAAGATCTAGAAATGGACATTGAGGAGGACCAAGAAATGGACCATGGGGAAGACTTGGAGATGGACATTGAGGAGGACCCTGAGATGGATCTAGAGGAGGATACCGAGGAAGAGGATCTTCTTGAGTATCGTCCTGTGGAACACATGCAAGAACTTCAAGAAATTTATATAGATTTCGACCTAGCATTAACAACTTCCTATCCTTATGGACCTCTTGAATAGGACAAAGAAGTAAATCAACTTGTCACTCCTGCTTTGGGAAGAAAGATAGCGAAGTATGATGCAAGAAGAATTAAAATTGTCAGGGAAATAAATAGAGTTCTTAAAAGATATGTTATAAGCATGTATAACACTAAAAGCATTAACTTTTACACTAACATCATGATGATGTTTTGTGAAGAAGTTAGAGCTAAAAAGAAATGGAAGCTGAATGATACTTGGGTGTGTGTAAAATGTAGTAATTGAGAATCACGTCAAATCACCCAAGCTTAGAAAGGCTCTTGTCGATTTTTACACAGACATTTGAATTTTTGTGTGTGTAATGTTTCTTATTTTATGGTTTCTATACAAAGAGACATAGTTCTTTGTAATGCTTTTAGTATTATGACTTGACTTACATGCAAATTTGTTTAATGTTTTGGCATTTATTGAAATATCTATCTTGAGTAGGAGCTTTTAGGAAATAAACCTTTTAAAAGTTATATGTTTATTATAGAGCACTTATATTTAAAATTTTTGATAGAATCCAATGATAATGCTAGACTATATGAAATGGGAGGTATAAACGTATGCTTCTGATTGTAGACCAAGTATTGTCATTATTTGCTAGTTAGGAATACTATAAGTACAAAACATTATATACCGCATTAATGCTATATAATTATTTAAATGTCTTTTAATTTTTTTTTGGGGTTCTTGTATAGGGAATAATCTTTTCATATGGAATAGCTTTGTCACAGAATTGAAAATGGAAACCAAAAACATCATAGCTGAACTGAATAAGGGTGAAAAACTTAATGAGGACAACTAGGATATCTAGCACAAAAAGGTGTAATACAATTTAGAGGAACAAGAGGCTTTAGAGCCCTTAGCCATCCTAATGAAGGAACCTGAAGCTGGGAATACGGCTCAACATTGAAAGATCAAGAGCTCTTCCAAGCATGGAAGAAGAAAAACCACATTGCTAAAATCACTCTACTGAGCGTCATGGCTGACTACCTCATGTGTGAGTTTGAAAAGCATGATACTGTTCAAGCTATGTGGATAGCCCTTAAAGACAAGTTTAGAGGTATGTCTACAAGCAAGCTTAGGAGATTTACAATTAAGTTCGATACTTATAAGGTTAAGGTGAGCACTTTCATAAAGCAGCATCTGAGGGCGATGTTTAATATGATAAGGGAACTCAAAGAGGTTGGGTATGCCTTGATTGATGAGCAATAGGTTCAAGCCGTGATAAGGCTGCTTCCTTCTAGTTGGGA